TCTACGCACGCGTACCCCTTACTTGACCTCACGCGTGCCTGGACACTCCTCAAAGAAGCTATCAAGTGTGTGCATTGGGACAAAGTTACAAGCCAGGTCTCACGCATTTCTACATCATAGACACATTTATTATACACATATTTCTTTTAATTTAGTTCACTTCTCATCAGACGCGGCATTTGTAGTGCGTCAGTCATAAGATTAATCAACAAAGACTTGTGCTGATACACAAAAAGTAAATTTTGAATTTCGTTTTGACCTTTAAAAAAGTATTAATATTTATATTTTGCGTGGGAAACATTTTGCATATTACTTGTGATTTCGTGTATGCTGATGAGAAATGAGCTGTAATTTTCTGTGACGCTTACACAACAACTCTAAGTGTAGATGCGTGTCCGCTGAATGCAAACAGTGCTTAGTGTCGCATTTTCTTACAAGTATTCTAATTAGTCATTTCTCTTGACTAGAAACCAATCATATTTTGTGTTAGAAGTTACCCATTCCCATTCTCTTGTACGCGGAAATCCACCCGATTGTGATTATCTAATCCCTACTAATCTCCTTCGAAGTACATTTTCTTAGTGAAGAAATGAGTGCTGCTAAAGTTGTTTGGGGTCGTTTTCTTGGACAGATCGAGGCGGTATTACCTCGTAAGCTTGTTCCGTTTTGGAAAGCTCCTGCTGGTGAGTATTTTCTCTTGGTTTTGCGCTATTTTACATGGCGTCTGATTTCGGCGACGTAAACATGTCTGGACTTTGGCGCTTCGACCACGTATTTTGAAATGTGGTCAATATGGCTACCGGCATAAATTTTAAATAGAGGAGAATCCCTGATCGATTAACTAGTTTGGTTTGTCTACAAATTGAAGCGTTTGTTTGTTTCGGGATGTACCGCACATACGTACTTAATGGCAGAACCAGAAATGTACAAACATGAAGTGGATGATAATGTTTAACTAACCGGTACATGTAAGACACGCCGGAGCATGGAGGGACGCTACCCTGCACACGAAGAGTACGGTGATTCTGTATTTAAAGGTGAAAAAATTTTTTTGGTAAGCGATATGCCAAGGGTTCTAAAATCTTATGCCAATTAAGTGGCTGAAAGAGAGGTCGAGGAAGCCAGACAATTGGAACTACTTATTTTCTTCCGGAGTGGTTGGTTACATTGGTTGGTTAACGGACCCTCCTTGCACGAGGGTTTCGCATGCACTGCCTTTCTCCAACACATGTTAATCCAAACTGAGACGTGTACAGTGAGGCAGTTTGAATGTCATGGCACTGAGAAACAAAGGTCTTTTTCAAGTTATTTTAATTATCAGTATTTCACTAAAGTTTGCAACATAACCCTTAAAATTGTGCTTTGAAGTATTTTAAAGATTTTTCTCAATTTTTATGGTAAGGTATGTGTAGGGTAAAATTTCTGCACAGCCCCATACTACATTATGTATTCAGTTCTTGGATAGAGAAAACAATGACAAAAACAATACATTGCTATTTGGGAAAACAGATTTGTTTTACAATAATGTGGGGCTGTGCGGAAATTTTACCTTGTGTAGCCCCTAAATTGTTCCAGTCAGCCATTGCAACAGTCACAGCCCTTTAGAAAGTTATTAAAACTATGGAATTATGTACATTTTCTTGTAAGTACTAAATTTTTTCCAGAGGTATGTAATTGATTCTGCATTTATGTATCTTTTTTTTTCAGGGCCACAAACTATCTTTTTCTGGGCACCAGCTTTTAAATGGGTAAGAACATGAAAAATTTTTATAATACTATGCAAGTTTTCATCAGTCAGTAGTTTGAAAACTTCTCATATAAGTATACACCAGGCATGTGATCAGTGATGCCTTTCTCATGTTCTGATATGACTTTCTCACTTGGAGGTCAAAAGCAGTTATTTTCTTCTTAATCCTTTAGCCCTCAAGAGTGAAAAGCATCTAATTTCTCCTGAAAGTATCAACCCTGAATCAAATATTAAGGTCACGAGAATAAAGGAAATGATCACCAACCAAAGAGGTTCTTGATTGTAGAACAAATTCTTCTTTCTAGAACTGTTGGAAATGTAGAAAGAACATCATGAAGAATATGTATACCGATATTATGGTGTTAAAGGCTAAGATAGTACCATTCCTAATTTTTTCTCAGCGAGAAATAGTTAATAATGTAAGTTATTATTGCACCTATTGAAGATGTTGCACTGTTTTTGTTGAAGGGTCTTGTATTTGCTGGTATTGCTGATCTTGCAAGACCAGCTGATAAACTCAGTCCATCACAGTCAACAGCTTTGGCAGCTACTGGTGAGTTCAAATATTCCATTCCCATTTAACCCAACTTGGTTAGCTCAAGTTGTACAGCGCTGCACTGCTGTGTGTGAGGTCGAGGTTTCAAGCCCCAGACCGGCCCAATACCCGGGGTCTTAAAATAACTGAGGAGAATGTGCAGCCTTTGCTGTGTTGTGGTTTGGTCATATTATTGTTTACATAGGCCCTGATTCAAACCAGCTTTAAGCTTGAACTTAAGTTTAAACTTAACATCATCAGGAGCAAACTCAAACTCTAAGTAAATGTTTTACTTTCTGATATCAGGGATAAGAAAGCAACAGCAAGTTATATTAACCCTTAAACTGCCAAGATCTGATTGTTAATATTCCTCTCTAGATCGAGGTAACAACTTCTACCAGATAAGTTTGAGTATTCTTATAACCTGTTTGCTGGATAAGGTATAGGTATTAAAGGGAGAAGTTACATGTTGATCACTTCAGGGAGTTAAAGGGTTAACAGGTAACTTCTCCCTACAATATTTATACATTACCCAGCAAACATGTAATGAGAATACTCAAACTTATTTGGTAGAAGTTTTTGTCTTGATCTTATATCAAATTCTCAAAACTAATTAACAAAGATATGTGTTGCAAGGAGAGGAAAGAATAAGAATAAGATCTTGGGAGTTAAGGTTCTAGAGCAGGGAACTTGGTCTCCTTTGGTTTAAATGTATTTTGTCGGTTTTTGCATTTTGTGTAGAGGAATAGGATTGTTCAAACAGTTTGCATACTTGTTTCTCTGGATGGATAACTTTAAATCAGTTTACATTTTTGGTTGTGCATTGACATAGAATGCGCGTTTGCTATATTGTATGAGTTCACCATAGCAATGTTAAATTCTGTATGAACTTTACAAGTTAGGTAAAAACGTTGGGTAGACTAAACTGATGCACAACCTCAAATTCTGCATAAACTGCATAAGCCACACTCCTAAACACATTTTTTGGGACATGTACTGCCTCTCTTGCCCCTCTGAATGTTGTGCTGAGAGATAGCACAGAAAAATTGGCAATTAACCACCTTGTAAATTGTTGTGGATAAGTGTACCAACTAATTATGTCTGGGAGTGTAATTCCAAGCATTAGGTAGAAAAATTGATTTTTAGTTGATCAGTGAGTCAATTGTTAAGTCATCTGGCATGTTTACTAGTTACTTTGGGATCAAACTCTAATTCTAAATTCTGTAGTTCAGGGAGGTGATTTGGTAAATGCAAGTCTGTTTTGTTTTACTTTATTTTAGCTTGCTGTTAATATTGTTTGTAATTTAACTTATGTTGTTATTATTATTAAATTATTGCAGGATTGATATGGGCAAGGTACTCATTGGTAATCATCCCCAAAAACTGGTTGCTCTTTAGTGTCAACATTGGTCTTGGAATCACAGGAATAAATCAGCTTTGTAGAATAGCATAGTATGTGTTGTTTTATCGTGTTGTATAGGATAGCTACAACCATCTGTGTATTCCCAGTGGTCTTCAGTGTGTTTTTGAAAATGTGAAAACACTGACAGATGTGATATTTATTTCTAAAAGAAATAGTTTCCATGTTTACACAGCTTCACATAGAAGCTAAGCAGACTGGGAAAATTCTTAAATTTTTTTTCAAACTTTTCTTGGATAAACTTCCTCAATTTCTCCCAACCCTGAGATTTTATTTTAGACTTAGTAGTTAAAGAAAAAAGTCATTTGTCACAGCACTTGTCAATAGGATGCAATTGCTTGTGTCCCAAAGAGGTCAAGCACCAATTTTTTTGCAAGAAAAAGCATGAAGTCATCACATCAGAATGTGTGATTGTATTCATTAATATTTCACTTATCTTTTCAGTTACAGGTATACTCTTGAGAAATCAAAAGAATCAAGTGAAATCCAAGCAAGTGTGGAACATAAAGCAAACTGAGGTCATGGTGGATTGGAATAAGGACATTGTAGATATTGAATTTACTTAATCTGAGCCTCACTTTGGGAGTTAACCTGGGAAAAAATTATTTTTTCATTTTGGTTGGTCAGTTTTTGTCGTCAGTCTACACATCAGATCACTATTTTACCCTTTAATTTTTAGTGTAATTCATTTCTAATCCAACTGGTAATAACTCATAGGGAAAATCAGGTTTTATCTATATATATTTAGATATGCTACTGCTCAAGCAGCCTGTAATTAAATTATTCAATGAAAATATTTAGCATTTTTGGTCATTCAAATTTTGTGTAGATCAGGTAGTTGCAATGGGGTAGCTGTGCCTGAATTGTAAAATATTAATAGACATGAAAATGGGCAGCAACTGTGGATTTTTCTAATTTGGAGTTAGTAAGACAAGTAATAGGTATTAAATTAATTGTTTCTCATGTGTATCATTAGTATTTAAAATTAGCAAGTGTCTTTTAAGGATGGTATATTTATACATATGGTTTTAGTATCTCATAAGGCATAGAATAATACATGCAGGTGTTGTAATGGTGAATTAAATGTAAATTGTGTATTAAAAATAAAGGTTTTGTTTACATCATTTCTACATTTTGATGAGTCATATGCACCATTTGGATATGGAGATATTTGAGTCATTTTGCTAGAAACAACACAGCTTGGAAAGTGGAAACAATCCATGAAACAATGCCATTTTTTCATGACTTGCTTATGTTCATCATTTTTATAGAGTATGAGGCTCTGTTCACAGATAATATAAATAAATCTCCAAACACAGTATTTATTGTGCAGTACTGATCACAAGTTTTGAACATTCATATTCAATTGACACTTGTTGCCAGGGAGTCATTATTGTCCTGTATTTCAAGCCAGAAAATTATTGACAGTTACTAGGGGTGACCCAGCAGTCAAAACAATAGGTTGAAAGGTTGTGTCAAGAGCCTGGTCTTAAGTGTGGTCTCAAGATCTTTGGACATGACTCTTTAAATGCATACACATTGCTTCTTTGAACCAGAGAATAAATGGAGTGGGGGCTAAGTTGATGGATAGTAGCTCAGCTTATCAGTTAAGTAGCACCTCAGCTTAAAAGAAGCAGCAATGCTCCCAAGTTCCTTCATTATGGGAAAACAAGATGCTAATTAGGCCAGAAAGACTTCACCATGTTAACCCTGACCAGAGTGACAATTGTTTTATAGACATAATTTCTTTTTGATGTCTTCTTTGCCATTGTTTCAATGTTATTTGGTTTCTTCTGAAGTCACTTTTTGTTGTGCTTTCTTTTACACATGTAGCAAAGTTACTATGCCAGTATGTCATCCTGAGGGAGTTTGTTGTTAATTTCAGAATGTACAGCAAGCATAATTATCTTCTCTCTTTTGTGGTGTTTTGAGTCTCTGAAGACCACCACTCCTCGCTGTTCCCTTTACCCTTATTTCTTGGAATTCTCCAGGGCTCAAAGTATGAAACCAACTTTCCATCCTTTGTGGGAAAAATACTCTTCATTTTGAGAGCAAATTCTTTCGCCTATAAAACAAATCGAATTAAAGTTTGAGAAATATTCTTTTACAAGATGCTGGGGGGATTTTTTTAGCAGAGAAAAGATTTGCACCAGTATCTCACTGGCACTACGGGCATGCTAGGTGGTTTCACTAGAATTGTAATAAGCCTTATTCGTATTCAAGTGGGATTACCCAATTACCACCTCACCTAAGCTTCCCTTTCAAGGTGTACTGGGCTGGTGAAGTTTATTTTGAAAGTATCAGTTCTCAAAACACTGAAATCATGAGAACCCTTGTCATTATTGTTTCTTTCCTTCCTTGTGAAGAAAAGGGTCAGAAATCAAACAATATCCACATGAAAACAATGATAAAGTAGCAAAAATTTGGGGATAATGTGGTGGAAACAAGGAATAGGGGTGACTTTTTAGCAAAGATGTCACATGTATATGAGCTATCATCAATTTTTCTTGACAAAGAGCTGGATTACACGCTCCTTTGGAACCACCCTTCCCAGTATTGCCTTTATGAAATTGAAGTGCAATGGTGAACTTTACTGGAAATGATGGTTGGAATTCACCAGGAGACAAAAAGGGGTTCCAACCACAATAAACATCAAGCTAATAATTGAACATCAACAGTTTTTTATCCATATAGGGCCATGGTAAATATTTAATTCCCTGCCCTCAACCAATCATGGACAACCAAATACACAACCCCAGTAGATTAATGCCTGTGAGAGGTCAGGCAGAAATTTTTCTCTTAATTCTAGACTATAAGGTTGACAAAAAATCCTACTAAATCTTGAAAACTAGCTATCAATATATTAGAAGGATAAACTTTTTATATTCAAGATCAATTAAGTTTCCTTTCAGTCTATTTAGTAAAATCTATCAGTCTACTGAGTAAAATTTAGTAACCCTGCTTCCACTGCACATTGTCGAATACAAAAATCACGTGCAGGTGTAATAATAAGTTATAGACTAGAGTGATTTTCTCTGGTGAGTCACGAGGAGAGTCAGTCCTCATATACCTGCAGTCTCACTGCACCTGACCGAAATTAAGAAACAATAAAACATGACACGAAACGATAACTCCAAGTTAGGAAAAGCTAAACTGAGAAAATAACTTATATCATGACTAAACACTAAGGACAGCGCACACCACAAAACAAAAACAAACAAACACACACACAAACAAACAAAAAACGTAGAAGTGTTACGTATTCTTACATCCTTAACACCAAGAGCAGTCTTCACTCCAAATATTAGAAGACCGACCCCACTGACGGCAAGGACAGTGCCCCATCCGAGAGCTCTCATGGCTAGTTTCGCCCCTTCTTGTTGACGTTGGTCAAAAGAGCTTGGACTTCTCCTTCGCGCTTGTCCGATAGCATATCCAAAACCACTAGCTATCGACGCAAAAGTTACACCAGTCAACAACAACGCTCCTGCAAAAACATCACCCGCTTTCATGTTTTGAGAATCGCCGTTCTCGTGCATTTTCTTAGTATTTTCGTCCGCCATTTTGAATGTTAAATCGCGGGCTCATTTAAGCATGCGCTCCTAATCCTCGGTGTGGCGCCTGATACTCGAAGACATTTCGTTCCGCTTGGATATGAAGACAAGCAAATAATGGGTTGTTTCAGGTGGAATTTTACCAGTTGAGCTTGTTCGTGTACTTCGGCACACGGAGACTAGTGCTGGTAATGACTAATTTTGCCCTGCGGAGAAGCTGCGTTTGTCCTTGCCGGTTCTGAACGACAAAAACCTCCATGACTGTAAAGCAATACACACCCATAATGTCAAATCGCAATTGGGAAGTTTTTCCAGGGAGAAACAAGTTTTACTGCGATGGAAGGATTATAATGGCGAGAAATAACGGCGTATTTTATTTTACCGTGGTGCTTATTGTGGTAACCAGTGGACTTTTCTTTGCATTTGAGTAAGTATGGAGCTGAGTCGTTCCTTCACTTCGATCATGAGGTCATTTCTCAAATGTAACGAAAAGTTGGAAATTATATAAACACAACGAATCTTTTAATCTTTTCGCTGTGGATCACTCAGACAGCAGCTTAAACAAGACAGCGATCGTTTTTCCAGTTGTATACAATTTTTTACACCTGTGTATTAAAGTGATATACAAACAATTTTAATTTTCTCAGCTGTTTTGCAAAATATTTTCCGTATTCAGGGTATTCAACTTGTTTTGTAGTTTGCTCTGTGAAGTAAATAATGCATCTTTGCCCTCTAATTAGCTTTGCATTTGTTCATAATCACTTGCGTTTTATTTCTGCCTCCATTTAGGTTTTCCTATATCGAATTATTTTCATTTTTGAAACTTTTTCGACTCTAGCTGATGTAAGCCGGAACGTCTACATTGTATGCATGCGATTTTCTGAGCATAATTTTTAGAACAATAAATAAATTATACTGATTACCCTGTGACCAAACAAAGGTCCATTTAGTTACTCTGTGGCTGCAACAGTGTATTGGAAAAAGATAACCTACGATCTTATTAATTTTTGAAGATTGAAATAATTTTGTATTTGGTGTTGGATTTATAAATTACTTAAATTTCTAATTTCACATAGAGCCAAAAATGTTAAGACAAAATTGTCTTGTAGCAATGAATCTGATGCTACTATTTTGCAATCTGTTCATATTTATGGTAGCATTGAATGGTATCTCCATTTTTCACTGTACAGCTGGAACATTTAGTGGTTTTTGATGAATTATTCCACAGAAACACATTTGCATGGAATGAAAAGTCTTGCAAAATAAATGGAGGGTAAATTTATCATATGTACATTCTGACCCTCGGCTCATAATAAAAACTGTTCAGGAATACAGAGAGGTAGTGGGTAGGGGTGTTGTCTGATTTTAGTTTTCTTGTGTCAGACTTCATCATGTATATGCTCTAAAATTTAATAGAATTCTGTGAAATGTCATTAAGAGGTTAAATGCCGCATAACTAAACAAGTTCTAAGACTTTAAAAATGCATTTGGGGTTAAAACACATTTGCTTAAAGAAAACAAAATCACCAATTTTGCATTCTCTACTGCATGTGAAAGAGGAATGCTTTTGGCTTACCAAGTACATAGACCTTGTTAGAGGGGGATTGATATGTGGGAAGGTATTCCACATGTGACTTCTTTTGCCCAATGCAACTCTGAGGTGGAAGTCAGAGCTTTGCTTGTGCGTAAGACAATGTTTATTTTCTATGCAGTGCTATTGTTATCAATACAATTGTAAATATTACAGATGTTATCTTTTTAAGTTTAAAATGGGAATAGCCTGTAGCATTTTGCACAAGAACTCTTTCCAAAAAGGTGAATTTGTTAATCAAGTGATTGTTTGTAAAAAGATTGACATGGATTTGTCAAAAGCAAATACATTCATGTACACTACAAATATGTTAACACTGTTGCTATATTTGTGACTTCAGAAATTTTGAATTATGCAGTATAGTAAAACTAAGTTTTTTTCTCATAGTGAATAGGATTTGTCCAGAATACAACCACATGAAAAGAAATGTTTTCACTTTGTTCTGTTTATGGTGATTTGATAAATTTTATGCTTTGGCCGCAATGTGCAAATCAGTTTTTAAGACCAAATTTGGTTATTGTTTTTGGAAAGAAACTACAAACTTAAAGCAATTACTGGTATATACATGTACATGTACATGTAGGTCTGCATGATTTCTATCAGAGTTAGAGTTTAGTTTGTCATTGTAAATACTGTCTTGTCTGAAGAGCATTTTAACTTATGAAAATTGTTTTATGGTCTGTCAGTGCTGTTGTTTCCTGCTCCTCTGGTACCTTATCTGTTCAGCTATTTTCATGACAATTGATTTTGTTCATTTAAGAATCACCTATATGTATGACTTTTTCAGGGGCTGATTATTTTTACTGTCAGTCACATATTCTCTACAATATGAAATCAGGATTGTTGAATGAAATAACATTCTTTAGTTGATATCTTTTTCTCTTCTTATCACCTATCTACTTGATAATATATCAGAAATGTTATGAAAATTTTCTCCTTAGTCACTTCTGGGGTTGTAAAGGTTAATAGAAAAATTTTTGTTATTGAAATAATTGTTTTCCTGTCAGTAGTTACTAGTATGATAATTTGTTAGTGTAATTCACAGAGGTTAGTCTGTGTAGAGTTGAATTGAATTAATTTTTATGAATCTTTCCCCCTTGTCTTTTTACTTTGCAGCTCTCGTTACTTGTATATGCATGTTTCTCCAGCTGTCCCATTCATTGCAGCATGGTTATTTATCTTTGTCATGTCAACACTACTTCGCACAGCTTTCAGTGATCCTGGTATAGTACCTCGAGCATCAACCGAAGAGGCAGCTTATATTGAAAAAACTTTAGGTGAGAAAAGAAGTAAAGTCAATCAAATCACTATTGTACTGAAGATGGTCAACTTGAGTGCTCATAATTAGCCTAAGTTTTAAGAAGGAGAAAGGTACTGGGGTACTCTCATTTCTACGAAATCTTGAAAGTTTTGCATCAATATTACCAGTAGGTTCTCCTCTCATGTGCCAGTTTATCAAGTTTGCCTGGTTAGTGGAGCAAATTTTGCCATCCATTCATATGGGAATATTCTGTCATGCTGTATTGTTGAGATCTCAGCCTGGTTGTTGTTGTTGATAGCAGAATTTTCAGTCCAGTTACCCAGATAAAGTCTCATTCTCTCCTTATTCATGTGAGTTACAAAACTGGGATGCTTGTAAAGGGAGAAAATCAGACTCCATACGGAGATCTTTTTCACAAAAATACAACATCTTAGATTTTGCATGGATTTATAGAGTTCAGAGGAAAGACCTCTAAAGATCAGCTAGGAAAACCTCAGGAAATCAACAAGCTTGTTTGATTGGGTGAACAAATGTGTGAACATATTGGGAAAATTTCAAGTCATTTTTGCTTATCTTGGATCGAATTTCATTGAAACCAGCTTGACATAGTTTTGCTTGTCTTTTCTTCTTTCAGAAACTCCAAATCAAGATTCACAAACATATAGGCCTCCTCCCAGAGTGAAGGAGATCTCAATAAATGGACAAACTGTTAAACTTAAATTTTGTTTTACCTGCAAGATATTTAGACCTCCTAGAGCATCACACTGCAGTATGTGTGACAACTGCGTAGGTAAGTAGAAATCAATCCGTGGAGGTTTGGTTGTGGCAATCTTTTTGAGGCTTTCAAGGTTTTCAGCTGGCATCAGACCCTGGAAAATTCTTCAGCTATATGTACAAGAAAGAATTTTTAAGGGAGTTTTCCCTATTGCCTAAGATGTTTTTAATGCAGATGTAGAGAATATTCTCTTGTAGCCGTAATCCAGATGTGTGGGGTCCTGGGAGATATATTTTTTGAAATGCATCTATGCTTCCAGTGTGCAATTACGGTCTTAAGTTTTCATAATATTTTTTATGATTCTAAATACAGCAACGCTTTGGTTGATTGTTTCTTAGGTTTATAAACATGTTTAAACTGCATAATGTTATGTTTTCTTCTTTTTAGAGCGGTTTGACCACCACTGTCCATGGGTGAGTAGTTTGTTAGTTTTCAAGTGAGTTTAGGTTACACATTAATGCAAAGTCATTTTTCTGCCCTTTTTTTTTCAATTCCACTGTTTGGTCACAACCCTTCTAAGCATTATAACTCAATTTCTAGAATTATATAGGAGGTGATTTTTTTTTTGTTTTTTTTGCCTGTATTGTATGTTTTGGCCTCTCTTCACTGAGGGGCGTAATTGGGTACCAGCGAGTTGCTAGGAGCTTAGGGGGAGGGAGTTTTTAGTAATGGGTTTGCATCCAGTTTCCAGCGGAAGTACGAAAGCTTTTAAATCCCAACATGATTAGGAAATGTTTAGAACTTGTTTTAATGTAACTACTGGTTGGTTTTGATTGGATTGCTTTTAATATTTTCTTCTAGGTTGGGAACTGTGTAGGGAAAAGGAACTACAAGTTTTTCTTCATGTTTCTAGTTTCTCTCTCAATCTACTGTTGCTATCTCTTTGCTTTTGTTGTAACTCATCTTGCATTGTGTAAGTTGGACCATTTTTACTTACACCTTTGTTCCTATTCTCCTAATGGAATTTTATGTGATTGCAGCAAGAGACATTCAATATTTACTAGATTTTCATGAACAGATCAAATGTGTTGTGGGTCCATAATGGCACCAGTGATAATTACTAGGGATGTTCCTTTTTCTGGGATGGGCAAAATAAGGTAATTTCATTTTGGGAGTGTGAGTGGGACAGATAGGAAGTGTACTATTTAAGATGCAAAGAATATTTAACTGGTAAACCCTTTTTATCAGCAAGTTCTCTCTTCTGTGGCCATTTTGGTCTTCTTTAGGCTCCTGCAGGGTAGAAGACTCCAGCGATCCCAAAGATCCCTTTTAGGAGCTGCTGGTTAACAACAAAAGTTATCATTAGCAGTTGTTACAAACTAGTAAATCCATTGGAATGTTACTTGAATAGTGTCTGTATATCTTTTACAGTATCACAAGGA